ATTATATATATATATATATATATATATATATATATCATTTTAAATATACATAATTTAAAATATATATTTGTATTTTTCTGATTATGTTTCATGTATTGCTTATTGTATATATGAGAGAGAGAAAAATCTTTAAGAATAAAAATGAAGTTGAAAAAAATTAAAGGGAAACCAAAATCTATACTGAAATAAATACCAACAATACCATCTTAAACCACTAGTCTGTGCTGTCGCCCTTACATTGGAGCTCTGTCATCTTGGGAAATACGACTTGAAAAAAATTCAGACCAGTTAAATCATGAAGTTAAATCACAAATACACGTACAGAGACATTTATCTCCAGCCCTGTAGCAAATGCTGATATTTTCTTTTTATGCATCTAAATATGCCACAAGAGAGAAGCTCAGATGAGGAATTACCCAAACATTTGAGCCGTGTCCTTGGGTTTACAATATCAAAACCTGTGCGTGAATAAACTAGCAATATATTAACTCACTGAGCTTGTTAAAAAGATAGAAGAAGAGAATTAATTAGAATTTTTATGAAAAGGAATATAGAGGTAAAAAGACCAGCAGATCTGTATGAAAGGTCATGCATCACTGTGGTTCTTTATCTTTAATGGCCGTGGGCCATAAGATGGTCTTTATAATTACCATACAAGAAGGCCAGAGAGGGCCAGTCTGAACTTTTGAAACCATAATTTCTTTCACTTCCCCCCATCAGCAGCTCAAAAAGTCGTGCCTGATCTGTCATTGTGTGAATCTGTGGAGCGAGCCTTAATCTCCGGGCCTGTGACTCCGGTCATGCTTTCCATTGACAATAGTATCACACATTTCCCACAATTTACTCTCAAGACTTAGATTGTCTATTGATTTGAAATGTTTGCTCATGCTCGTGCGGAAAAGGTGCCGGTGGTAGAGAGACTAGCAAACAAACAAACAAACAAACATTTGGCGGTTTCGCAGCCGATGTTCAGATCAATGACAAGGGTCTCTCGGAATTTATTAAACTGTGCGTCGGGTCAAACGCATTAGATCTCACTGAAACCCAATCAATAGCATTTCCCCTTGTTTTCTCAGCAGCTTTTCCCCCTTCTCATAAGTAATGAACAAACATGACCAAACATCAGATTCTGTCATTTGAAAGTGAGGCAGTAAATTCATCTTGTCTGTTGTGTGTGATCACAATATAGATTTGTGGAATGGACGCTCTGTTTACTGGGCTTTGTTTTTATGAGCCGCACATTTAGTCAATACCACGTAATTGGAAATTCACAGGAAAAGGGCGAAGGGGTAGCACTAGTTTCGCTCACTGCACCTTTATAGTTTTGAGAAAAATGCATATAATAAAATATGTATTTTGGCACAAGCATGACATATAATAAACATATTGGAAGGATAAGTAAGTATAATGCGTATGTACGTTGGTCCTAATGAAAAAAAAACAAAAACAAATAAATCCAATGACAAAATCGAACAGGATGACAAGAACAAAGGCAGTCTGCGTTAAATTGCTTTGCAGCAAACAGTGTAAATGCAGAATAAGTTGTGTTAAATGTACCGTTCTCTCATGGAAGAGCGGGTCAGGACTGGACTCTGATCTCGGAGCGTGCTGGACACAGGGGTGGAATGATTTTTGGGGGATTTATTTTGAAAACTTCTGGCTGTCTGCGTGGATGCCACCCCAAGAGATATAGTGGAGAAAACAGGGTCAGAATGGGCAAGGATTCCCGTACATTAATTGAACTGTAATTTGTTCAAACCAAACACTTTCTAACTTACATGTGACGGCTTTGATCTAAAACTTCCAAGGAGAGAGGGATCTAGAGACATTTTGTGGGAAAATATGGTAAAATGCATCCTCCACAACACACAAAAACACAGCTGATAACACTTTATAATCAAGAATCGATTCAAATACTCAAAAGAAGGATATCTCATTTAAAAATCTAAATCATTTACTCACTGACATGTCGCTCCAACCTGACTTTTTTTTCAGAACACAAAAGAAGCTACACTACTGTTCAAAACTTTTTTTTATTTTAAAGATTTTTAAAAAAAAAGTTAAATTCTCACTAAGACTGCATTTATTTGATCAAATGTAAAACAGCATTTAGAGTAAAAACAGTAAATTATTGTGAAGTATTACTGCCGTTTTAAGATGTTTTCTATTTTAGTATATTGTAAAATCTAATTTATTCCTATGATGGAAAAGCCATTACTCCAGTCTTCAGTGTCACATGATCCTTTAGAAATCATTCTAATATGCCGATTTGATGCTCAAGAGACATTTATTATTATTATCAATGTTGAAAAACAATTGTGCTGCTTAATATTTTTGCGGAAACTGTGATACATTTTTTTCAGGATCCTTTGGCGAATAACAGTTAAATTCTCACTAAGACTGCATTTATTTGATCAAATGTAAAACAGCATTTAGAGTTAAAACAGTAAATTATTGTGAAGTATTACTGCCGTTTTAAGATGTTTTCTATTTTAGTATATTGTAAAATCTAATTTATTCCTATGATGGAAAAGCCATTACTCCAGTCTTCAGTGTCACATGATCCTTTAGAAATCATTCTAATATGCCGATTTGATGCTCAAGAGACATTTATTATTATTATCAATGTTGAAAAACAATTGTGCTGCTTAATATTTTTGCGGAAACTGTGATACATTTTTTTCAGGATCCTTTGGCGAGTAACAAGTTCAAAAGAACAGCATTTTTATTTATTTTTTTTAAATAGAAATCTTTTATAACATTATACATGTTTTTACTATCACTTTTGATCAATTTAATGTGTCCTAGTGGAGTATTAATAGTAGTGTATTTTGAAGAACTGTCTTTGTCCATACAATTAAAGTCAGTGGGATCCAAAACAACACTGGACCCCACGAGTCATTCCTTTTTCAAAATATCTTCTTTTGTAAAAGAAAGTCATACAGGTTTGGAGCAACATGAGGATGAATAAATGCCACAAATAGATATGTAAAAACACAAATATTATAGTAACCTGTGTGGTCTGTGGTGTAGCTCCGTGATTGCAGACGTAGGGGGCTTCTTTTAGTAGATGACTGAGACATAAGACACATGGAGGATTCCATCAGTGGCGTGTTTGGGCTTCGGGGCACCTGCAAACAGAAGATGCAATCAGCTACGCTGCCCATTAAAAGAGAAATACTCGCTCATCTCTGATTTAGCAGGTGAAGCGACGTGCATCAACACTCCATTGACACACGGAGTATTGATTATTCAAATGAATTTGACTTTCATTTCAGAGTTAATCACGTTTTTCTAGGAAGGTGAAAGTGAGGAGAGAAACTTCAGAGGGAAGTTACTCAGACTCAGGTGTCTTGTGTATAAACTCAACTCTCAGACTTCAATTAGTCCAATTGAACTTCATTTAAATAGTAAAGTGACCAAGCGAGTTAATGAAACAAGCTATTTAGTTTTCGTGCAAAACAAGCGTGCCGACTTTAAACACACATAATATAATCTGCTGAAATAAGAGGGAAGAATTTGCTAATCACGGCCTGACTCTTAATTACTTAGGTTAATTGTAGCCTGGGGATTTTCTTTGAAACGGCTACCCACTTTTTAAAAGGCCTGTGACAGAAAATGCCATGATGATATCAGACACAAATCCAAGAGCTGCCTTTTATCCCATGACAGCTTTGATATTTGCACCCCAGGATGTACTGTTGTTTTAGAAAACATGGAAAAGAAGCAAGAGGGGGAATTTATGCTTTTACTTCAGTCACAAAAACCAGTAAAGATTTTGACACGGCTGTCTGTCTCCTGTAATCAACATCCTCAGAGAAGAAATATTACAATTCACCTACATGTTAACAACATGCAGCTGAACTGAGCTACTGTTCCGTGTCACCGTGATCATTAATCAAAGATGAAAAGTACACAAACTCTGCTTGTATTGTTTCATCAGTCAATATGACCCACCACAAATGGAGCCCGAGGGACCGTCTCTTTTTTAAATGTGTAGGGCCCCAGTTTGAGGTTGCTGAGTCGTTGTCTGGCCTCCTCAGACAGCTGACACATCTTGCGGTGGGTGTAGGGTGAAGGAGCACGGCTTTGGGATGACACGGTTGGCTTTTCGTATCCACAGGATGGCGCTGTGACTGGCTTCTTCTTCTTCTTCGAGTCTGCAGGGCAAGTACTCACACTACAGGGCTTACTTGAGGAACGACCACATGACTGGATAGGAACAAAGACATATTCACTGAAAATAATTCATAGTTGCAGTGTTACCATTAACTGAAATTAAAGGGATAGTTCACCCAAAAAGGAAAATTCTGTCATTAATTACTCCCCCTCATGTCGTTCCAAACCCGTAAGACCTTCGTTCATCTTCGGAACACAAATTAAGATATTTTTGATGAAATGTGAGAGCTCTCTGACCCTCCCATAGACAGCAACGCAACTGTAATGTTCCCAGGTCCAGAAACGTAGTAAGGACATCAGTAAAACAGTCCATGTGACATCAGTGGCTCAACCTCAGTTTTGCGAAGCTACGAGAATATTTTTTGAGCGCAAAAAGTTTTTCCAACAATTCTTCTCCCCCGAGTTATGTCTTCCGCAATTTTAGAGAGTATCACAACACATACGCACGCTTTCCCTTAAGCATAAACAACGCCGATTACGCAGATTACGTTCATGCACTCGTTTTCTCCCCTGAACGTAAACAACGCTGATTACGCTCTTGGGTACTCTCCAAAATGGCAGAAGACGTAACTCGGGGGAGAAGAATTGTTAAATAAATTGTTATTTTAGTTTTCTTTGAGCTTAAAAAGTTGAGCCACTGATGTCACATGGACTGTTTTACTGATGTCCTTACTACGTTTCTGGACCTGGGAACATTACAGTTGCGTTGCTGTCTATGCAGGGTCTGAGAGCTCTCATTTCATAAAAAATATCTTAATTTGTGTTCCGAAGATGAACGAAGGTCTTACGGGTTTGGAACGACACGAGGGTGAGTAATTAATGACAGAATTTTCATTTTTGGGTGAACTATCCCTTTAAAGCTAAAACTATTACAAAATTGTTTTTGTTAATGAAATAAAGTTTAAATAAAATTAAATTAAACAAATATCAGATGAAATTGGTAAGAGTTAAAGTACTACAATTACTAAAACGGAAATTTAAATAAATTGAAGCGAAATAGAAATATAAAAAAAGAGAACAAATAAAGATGGCAAATGCACATAAAACTAAATGTAACTAAAATGTAAAATTTAAATTGAAAACAAACAAAAAAAGCTATTTCAAAATATTAAGAAATACTACAATAGTATGTAAATAATACTAAAATAACACTAACAGTTGTACATGAACAACATTTCATTCAAAATATTAAAATAAAATATTCAGTCAAAAATAATATTATATATATATATATAATATTATTTTAAGTCGAGATTTAATTAAATTAAACTAAGTGGCTTTTTCTCCTTTTATTCTTCTTTCCCTCTCTCTTTTCTTTGGACAGAGGGACAAAGAAGCCATTTTAAAGCAGGAGTCGTGCTTGTCTGATGTGATTAGTGGCTCGGCTGGTGTTGGTAATGGAAGATAAAGCCGGATGTCCTTGAAACAACAAAGCCAGCACCACAAGTAGCTTATTAAACAAGAAACAAGCACCGTTCAAATGCATGCAAATCACACAGAGAAAGCCCGCTTTACAGAATGCCGTGTCAAGTCCGAACTAGAGAGATCCACAAAGGGAAGACTCGCACATGAAACGGGCTCAATGAGATGGTCAACAGCAGAAGCGGTCTAACGAGAGTCTGAGAAACTTGACATGAAGGATACAGACTCAATCAGCGAATCTAAACGGACTGAGAGGTCTGTGAGCATTTAATGGAAGAAACAAATTGGACCAGTCAAGTCCAACTGATCAGCGCCGATCCGAGTAGAAACGAGCCAATTCTCTGCAATTACCTGCATGGTAAAAAGAACATCCTGAAAGGGGGCGTGAGGCCACTAGAAGGACAGCAGAAAGTGGCACAGATGGTAACAGACAGTTTGATTGACAGAGAGACCCATTGTACTGCTATGTACATCTAAAAAAAGCCTTCATTTGATCCTTTTCGTTTAAACCTCAGTGTTTCTTTTCATTTAGCATCACAAATAATTGCTCTGTTCCACAACATAATGGGCAGAAGCATCATGCAGCCGTTTCAGAAGCCAGGCGCCTATGTAGGCAGCGCACTAGCTTTTGGAACGGAGCAAATACCAGCTGCAATATAATGGCAATAATAAAAGCGCTGAGACTCACAGACATGGCAGGCTGACCATGTTTCACATCACACTCCTCAATAATAGACGTCGTTGAAAACTCCACTTTGGGAGAGATTCCCTGAGGGAACGAGACAGGAGAGATAGAGAGCAGAAAAAAAATTACAAAACTTTTCGAATGATGAAAAGACAGAGGGCAAATGCAGATAATAACACTCTTGGCAGATCAATTTACCAAAACAATCTACGTCTTCAAGCAAATAGCAGGAAAATGGGACCGGCTTTTAAGATGCATCAGAGATATGACAAAAACGCTGAGAGGAAGACACACGCACGGGGAAGGAGATGGATCTCTTCATCAGAATCTCTCTCTCTGGGCCAGGGCTTCTGGGAGTCAAACGGGGGCCTGGATACAGAAACTCCCGGGTGTCTTCTTCAAACGTGGCCAGGATCTCACCCTCTGCACAGTCAAATAGAAATGCATGATGGAATGGTGAATTCTGTCCGTTTTTCTTGACAGCTCTGGGTAGTTGTTTTTGGCCAATAAAGTGGTTTCTTTGCGTTTTAAAGTAATAACGCAAAAGAAACTAATGAGTGTCAGATTGTGTGCAAAAAATAAAATACAAATTTAAACCCAAGAGACCTCCATTGAAAGCAGCATGATTTATGCATTCTTTAATGAGAGTGCTCGGTCCAATAATGTATGTATTCCCCTGCTGATGTTGGTTAATTTTTGAAATTATACTAGCAGGTCTGAGAATTCAGCCGTTGCGTCAACTGCTAAAGCTGGAGCCTTCAATCAAAGCCGAGCTCAAATGTAATGTTTTCAGTTTACTGCACTATTTTGGAGAACTCAATCTCCAGCCTCAAATATCTGTCAGTGTTACAGCTGGAATGGATGTGAGATCTTACCTGGAGGAATGAGCTGAATGAGCTCTAAAGATGTTGTATCATCTGCAGTGGAGGAAAACCACATGATGGAAAGCTATATAAAGTTTATCGATCTGAGGTTTATGAAAGAACACAGGACAAACTGAAGACAGCCAAAAGGATTCTTACTCTCCAGATGCTCAGCTACAGCAGCCGGGTCAACTGCTCCCACAAAGGTCTGTCGAAGAGAATGGGAGAGGATAGAAAACAAAGAAATCAGATAGTAAGATAGCATGTGTCACAGGCTGAAATTAATCAAAGCCATTTTAATAAAGTCTTACCTTCACAAACACCATTTTTTCATGTAGCCGCAGAGGGAAAACTGGAGGGACACACTTGGACTTCTGATACTGGCCCATTATCCGAACACTCACATAAATGTCTTCTTGGGATGGTAACACTACCCCTGGACAAGTTATCTATAGGGGGAAAAACATTAAAGGGATCATATGATGCGATTTCAAGTTTTCTTTTCTCTTTGGAGTGTTACAAGCTGATTGTGCATAGATAAGATCCCTGAAGTCTCAAAACCAAAGATATATTCTTTATCAAAGTTAAGACTCTGCCACACCCCCCCTAAAATGGCTCGTTCTAACACACCCCCACATATCTACCTCACTATGTGGAAATATTTGCATAATGCGGCCCAAATGTTCATGCAAAGTCTGTTACATCAAATACACAAAATAATGATCTTTAAAAAAAGCATTATATGACCCCTTTAACATGGTCATTTTGCACCAAATTTTATACCATTATATTTTATATCAACTTTCACACACAATGCCGCTCTTTTAGCTTTCTATTAACAATGCCTCTCTTTTGAGCTTTCGATTTATCAAAAAATCCAGAACATTTTTTATCACAGTTTCGACAAAATATTAAGCAGTACAACTGACAAAATGTTTCTTGAGCACCAAATCAGCACATTAGAATGATTTCTGAAGGATCATATGACACTAAGTATGTAATGTATGATGCTTCTGTAATGGATGATGAAAATGTAGTTTTGACATCACAGGAATAAATTACATTAAAATAGAATTTTAAAATACATTAAAATAGAAAACAGTTATTTTAAATTGTAATAACATTCACAATATTACTGTCTGTTTTTAGTGTATTTTTAGTCAAATAAATGCAGCTTTGACATGAAACCTGAAAAAAATCTTACCGACCACAACTTATCATTTTACACAAACTTACATATTAGATAATAAATATCAATTCATTGTCATTCCACATTGTCTTGCTTCTCTCCGAATGTAAATCAACCACTTCCTCTTCCTAGTCACGTCATGTGGATGTCTGAGAAGTGATCATTTCGATAACAGTATTAAAATAATCAACAAAAAAATCCTGGAGATCAGAAGATACTTTTTTTTTCATATTCATGATGCAGTATAGGAAAAATACAAGATCGGTCTGAATTCAAAACTAACACATGCTAACAGCTTGTCTGAAAATGGAGGAGTTTGCATTTGCATTGCTTCAAATAAGCACATCGGAGACTGGAATGAATGCAAGAGCGTTTATTAACATGGCTCTGCTTTTTTGCAACTTTGACTGATTGCTGATGGACTGACTCAGTCATCCGTGATAGCCACTTGTTGCTAACAGAATGCTAACACGATAACTTCTATCATAACACACGCAAACAGGAATATTTATGTTGTTGTTCAGCGAAAAAGGCAGAATGGGACGCGGGCTAATGTACTTACAGATTGGATATCCAACTCGACAGTGCATTTGAGCGCTTTTTGTCTCATTTGTGAGGCTGAAGGCTTCTTGGGCGACGTTAGTCCACCCATGTTTTTTTTTAATTTGGTTGCTATGACAACAGCCCAAGCGGCCTCTGCTTTGAAACTGCGAGGAAATGACGACACGATCAAGTGACTAAACAAATAGAAAATCTTTCAAATAAACATAGAGGAAATAAGCTATTGTTTTCAAGGCGGAAGGCAGGAGTTCAGCTAGAGATGAGTTCAACACTCCCTAAAACAATAGTCTGAAAAATAAAATAAATTGTAAAATAAAAAAAAAATATATATAATATACAATTAATATTTGTACACATTTTGTTTGATTTAACCTTTACGTTTATTTAATTTTTTTTACGTATATTTACGTTTTATCTTTTTTAATTTATTTTTTACTGTTTATCCTAATGTACTCTCATGGTTATATCTGAAAATCGTTAAAACCAATTAAAAATAAATAAATAAAATAAAATAATTTTTTTATTTCTCTAAATTTAGACGTAAACTATGGATGGCTCCTCATTTTCATGGTTAGATATTTAAAACTAAAGCTACAGCTGCTGTAGCTTTAATAATAGTGAAATAGATTTCCTTTTTCAATTAATAATCATTATTTGCGATAACTGAATGAATTACTTCATAAAACAAATAACTAAAATTAAAAGAGCAGTCTTAACAGGATATTTCTAAACAGGACAAAAATTGTTAAATGCTGAAGGTTTAACCCAAGATTTGAGTTAACTCTGTCAATCTTGTAAAGATTTGGTAAGAAAATGCACAGTTATGAGTGTTTGGTCTTTCAGAACAGCTGCATTTCAAGTCAGAAGGGGCCAGGAATGATTTGACACATGAGGACATATTCAGACATGGGTATGTGAAAAGTAATGACTATTTTTCAAAATGTAGGGTGAAGGGAAGTAGAAATTCTAAAAGTGGGGGACATTAGTTCATGAAGTCTCCGTTTTAAGCTGCTTATAATGATGTCTAATGAAGGAGCTGGCCTCGAAGTGAACCATACCACTGATGTGCTGAGACGGACCTCACAGAGAATCACAGGGGCCAGTTAACTTGTACACAGGAATGGACCATGTTGATGTTTAAGAAGGGAAATGCAAACAGTTCACAGCAGCCTTAGGGCAATTAGGATGTGTTTGTGGCTGTGAGGTGAGCCAAGCATAAAGGACTAATGGTTTGAGGCTCTGGTTAAAATGACAGCGCAGTAGGGAGGGGAGGCTCTCCATAAGCACAAATGCTTTTAGGTATGACAGTGCCATTACCTGTGTGTGTGTTTGTCGAGATTCTGTAGATGAATGTGTTTTCTCATTCACATTAGCTTTCGCCGTCTTCTCTTCTACCATCTAAAATGCAAGTCATTTGTTATTGCCTTTTCTGACTGATTACCTCAGTTATTCCGAATGACTGGCCTGAAAAATACACACTGCTTTTCACACCTCTTGACTGATAGCTTGAGCCATTCAGTATTTTTGCACCCTCACACTGGGTTCTGTGTGCATTCATTGTGTGTGGACAGATCAGACTTTGTTTGGAGACACTGTGTTACAGGTTTAACAGACTCTGTGTTAGAGTACTTTGGTGAACAGCAGACAATGTGTTGATGCTTATTGCCCTGAGATTATGATGAGAGGATTAAAATGCATTGTTTTTTAACAGCATTTCAAAATTACTTCTGCTGGATTTTCCTATAAGCACTTAATAATACACTGGAAAGCCATTTTTTATCAAACACTTTATTAGAAGCAAATTTATGAACACAAAGCATGAATATAATAAACCATTACAGGTCAACTGCTTTATATTTAAGCAATTTTCAAACATTCAGGTTTGAAGAAACAACTCAAGATGACTATCTAGACAATTAAAGAATTCATAAAAGTAATCACTTTATCAGAATGAGTACAGCTGAGTGAAATACAATTTCTGAACTGATAGCAGGCAACTCCAAATGCAAGGCAAAGAAAGTAGTTGGTATTCAACAAAGCACTGAAAAAACAATAAATGTAGCCAGTGGGATAATTTACAGTTGATGTTTTCTCTGTGCAATATCTCACAAGTGAGAATTAATACCGAAGACTTATTCACAGTTGTTGAGTCCTATCACCACATAAAAACTTAGACAACAAATATCTGGTGGATTGCTGTGGGCTGATATGAAAATGCAATTTGCAAGTGGACTGTGGTTCACAACGTCCTAGTCGAGGTTGTGATGCTCACTGAGGTACCGTACAGTATTCCTTGTTCTCTGTGTGTTCAGTAATCCCTGACTCCATGGGGTTTTCTGTCACCTTTAACCTTCCCATTTCCAGCATTGTTTCCTTGATAACTGGTGGATGTTCCATCGAAAGGGCTGAAAGTCAGAAAGGATGTTTATTAGAGGAGTTTTGTAGGAATCAGAAGTTCAGGGTTGATGAGCCACCCCTTGTTTCGAGGTAACCATATAGAAAATAAAGCATGTGACAGTATTTACAGGAAGAGACGATCATTTCATTTATCTGTGAGTGCACACGGTGAAAGAAGAACATAATATATATGTGAATTCCATATTATATGATGATTAAGAACAGGGATTTCCCAAAAAAAAAGGGAGGGAGGGGGGGTCGCGAGTTGATGAAAAGCTAATAATTAAATCATGAAAATGTCAAATTCAAATATAAAATTGAAAAATAAAACAAAAATAATAATAAAAAAGATAAATTATTTAATTTGTTTAGTGCATGTGGCTTTCAACTGAGCATGTGAATGTGTTGTTCAATTATTAAAATATTAACTTCTATACTAAAATATTTCAGTTCAAAAAGTTTGGGATGATGGAAAACAAATGTTGAGATGCATTACAGTTTAGCTGCTCTCATAAGAGGACATGTAAAAACTAAGCAAAAATCTGCAAGTTATCTGTTGTGTGAAGCATTTAACAAAACATTAAGTGGTATTAACAATTTAAGCCAAAAAATTTCTCCTGATTAAATATTGCAAATATGAGAGTCAATTAAGTAATAAAAATAGCTCATCTTATGGAAAGTGTCTTTTAGTTGGACTGTAGTATAAACTCACTATCTATGCAATATTATTCATAAGGATATGGAAAACAAAAACAAACCCAAGATCATAGACATTGCTGTGAGATGACGAAATATGTAATTGCACCTGTTAATGTGTCCTGTGAGCTTGCTTTCATCTATCAGGTTGTTCAGTTTGTAGTAATCCAGGAAAGTTCGGGCCACGTTTCTACCAAGCTTCATGTCTGTATGAGAAAATTAAGGAACCTTCGAGATCACATTACACAGATAATTACTGTACAACTACTGCACCTCTCAGCTGTGAAAACACTGATTTAAAAAAAAAAAAACACAGATATTTTTTTTTTTTTTGCTCAGAAAAAACAGCAATATAAAGTGACCTTCATATGCAAAAATATTCGTCTTTTGACTGTTTTATTGTCATTGGTAAAAACTTGCCAGCATTTAAGAGTCAAATACCCACGGCAGCAGTCTGTCTCTGTATTCCTAAAGAGACAGTCGACAACAAAGCAATATTGGAACGCCTCCTAGGCCCCGGCACAGTTAGAGCGTCAGATGCCTCAGAACCTTTAAATCTCTGTTCTGACGTGTCACTTTTAATTGAAAAATAAATAAATAAATAAGAGCCTGATTTTCTCCAATCTCGTACCAACGCGACCATTTGCAGTAAATAACTGGCCAATACCCAGCAGAGCACTGCGGAGAGTAAATAAGCAGGACAGGAGAGCCAGCGCTCTCAAATCAAACGCCTCTCAGTCAAGTCAGCCAAAAGGAAAAAAATGCATCACATTCCTGCAGTTACTTACAGCCGGAGCTTTATTTAAATTCATGCATCTACTCCACAACCCCCCCCCCCACAAGCCTTTCTTCCACCGTGCCCACGTTACAGAGCACATCAATTACCAAAAGCACTGCATCAAAGAGCTGTGAGGGCACTTACAATGCAGCTGAAAGAGTGGGAGCCGCTTAACTCCAACAAGCCAGACGAACGTTAAACGGAAATCATTTTCTTTTAACCTAAAGGAATAGTTTAATCGCAAATGAAAATTCTGTCATCATTTACTCACCCTCGTGTCGTTCCAAACCCGACTTTTTTTCTTCCGCCGAACACAAAAGGAGATAAAGAATGTACTGCACATTTTTTCCATACAACTACACATAACGGAGACTGGAGCGTTCAAGCTAAAGGAAAAAAATGCATCTCATTCCTGCAGTTACTTACAGCCGGAGCTTTATTTAAATTCATGCATCTACTCCACAACCCCCCCCCACAAGCCTTTCTTCCACCGTGCCCACGTTACAGAGCACATCAATTACCAAAAGCACTGCATCAAAGAGCTGTGAGGGCACTTACAATGCAGCTGAAAGAGTGGGAGCCGCTTAACTCCAACAAGCCAGACGAACGTTAAACGGAAATCATTTTCTTTTAACCTAAAGGAATAGTTTAATCGCAAATGAAAATTCTGTCATCATTTACTCACCCTCGTGTCGTTCCAAACCCGACTTTTTTTCTTCCGCCGAACACAAAAGGAGATAAAGAATGTACTGCACATTTTTTCCATACAACTACACATAACGGAGACTGGAGCGTTCAAGCTTCAAAAAAAGATGTAAATGCAACAAAGAAGTAGTTCATATGACGACAACTCGGATGACATACAATATAATGATCATAAATGAACAGTGGACTGATGTCCAACTGAACAAATCATTGTTTTGAGTTGGATCTTGTTTTGGCTGATCTCGTCCACAAAAGTGGTCTGAATGACTCATTCCAAAATTGGCCTGATAAAGTTCACAAGTTCAATCACTGACTCAATGATCTGCTCAATGATCAGTGGTTAACATCTCACTAAAGATTAATATTATAAGTGAATAACAGCTTCCATTTGTGTTTGTTTCTCACAAAATATACATAAAGCATGAGTCATATGAACTACTTTTGTGATTCATTAGCTTCTGCATCTTTTTTGAAGCTTGAAAGCTCCATTACGAAAGTGAAAGAAAGTGACGTGTAGACA